CAGCTTGTGAAGATAACGTGATTGAGGATTTTGAGTTTGACAACGATTAGGAAATGACTTCAGCTCTCATATATCTGTACCAACTACAATAGAATATTAACTCTTTTTTCCTGCCATTCTCTCACATACTAGGTATGGTATGAAAACCTTTAGCATATCCTGAAAGTGTGTATATAAGATACATTTACACATACAGACATAAATGTATATGCTCTGTATCTACTTGTATACGTATGCATATATATATTTACATACACAGAAGTACACTGCATTTTTGCTTTCACTGGATCTTCAAAGTAGTTACATGTCAAACCAGCCTCTTACAGACATGAAAGCAAAAAAAAAATAAAAAAAATAGAATATTAGCTTAGATCTGATTCATGTCACACAGCTTTTGATAGACATGTAGACATTCAGCTTTTGATAGACATGTAGACATTCAGATCTGCACCAGTCATCCTAGGCTCTCATTCTAACCACCTCTTTGGGTTAGAATGCACTTTGGGGAATAATTCATATGCCCTATTGTAGACTTTATGTATCCCCAAAGTGCCTTTTATTTTCCTTCAATTATAGAGGGACTCAGGAGTCACTAGATCAAAGGTAGACACCTATACTGCACGTCTGTATTTAGCCAGATGAGTCCCATTCCCTGTTATTCTAAAATGCAGATGGCACAAGGTCTGAGGCACGGGAGCAGACAGATACACAGAATATAAATTAAGAATGCAAATTTATTTGTAGCTGAAATATGGGGCACCGAGCTCAGATAACTTGACGTACATAACATGGGAATTTAAAGTCAGAACCAGGAGTAAACTTGGCATTATTCTGAATCCCTCTACAAGGTCTTATTTACAAACTACACTTACCATCAGTGTAATTAAAGCAGCAATTAATACCAAAGAAACAACCTTAAATAAGCTGACCTAGGCAAACCATTGAGTCATTATTCTTGTTCGACATTTGTCTTCTTTACTTTGGAGGAGGAATTAAATACCATCTTTTTCCTGCTACCTGTATCTTAAGAAAAAGATAATAAAAAAAGATCTTGAGAAAATCTACCACGAATGACTGCTCAAGAAATATATAGTACAAGATAAAGCTGCATGAAAGATAAAGCTACAACCTGTAGTTATCATCACAGGTATTGGCCACAGTAAGGTGAGGTTTCACATATATTTATATATCCTTTTATCTTTGCCCTTAGGAAAGATCAAAGGAAGTTCAAGTTATTTCTGTTTCTGCTCAGTGCTTTGTAAGTTGTGCAAATATTTTGCCTAATGCAGTGTTACAGTCCTTTGGGAACTGGATTGAGTTCACTGAACACATTGCTCATGATCATTTCGCCCATGTGTTTTAATCTTGGTTAAAGAAAAAATTCTTTAACCTATTATTGTAACAAGCCAGAAGCCAAAAAAAGCAGCAATTAAGCAGGGAATGAGTACATTTGTTTTGAATGCTTTTACTTAAGATTTTTTAGAAATGAAATCCTGAAAATTAAGCCCAAAGATTCATGTGTTTGCTATTTCAAGAGGTATTGCTATCATGACTTTGAGAGACTGAGACTGCTGCACTCCTGCAAGTTTATAAGACTGGCAGGTCCTGATTTCTACCTTTAATTAACCCTTACATAAACTGCTTGTGCTAGGAATGTCATTAATATTTGCGCCATTCTAATACTGGCAGTGGCTATCTTCAGTCTTTACAAAGTATTGCACAGCAAGGGGAAAAATGAAGCCTGAATATTATAGTTCTTACAATTAAAGAAAGTAAGTCATGATTGTGAGAAAAACTTCAAGAATAGTATGCATTTGACATGACAGTTTGTGGTAAACATTTTGTAAGAATAGCACAAGACTTAGTCCTACTTTGTAAAGAAAGTAAAGATTATACAGCGATAGAAAGAGGAAGACCTGCTTGAGTAAATCTGATTTCTATGCCTACAATGAAGTAAGTTTATCCCAGCTTGTTATTTCCCTTATCATCATTATTATTGGTGGTAGCAGTAGTGGTTTTGTGTTATACCTTATTTACCAGGCTGTTCTTGTCTCAGTCAGTGAGAGTTACATTCTTTTGACTGTCTTTCCCATCTCTCTGGGAGTGGGGGTTGGGGGAGAAGAAGGGAGGGAGCAAGAAAGTGGTTGTGTGGTTCTGAGTTACCGGCTGGGCTTACAGCACGACACACACAGACAGGATTCTGTAGGCAATTAGGAGGAATCTCTGGGTAGGTAGCTCTTGTCCTTCTGGGAGATTTCCATTTCCCGCACCTCAGCTGGGAATACCATACTGTCACTGCTGGGACAAATGAGGCTGCGGAATTCCTGAAGTTTGGGGAAGGTAGTTTCTTTCCACAAGTACTCAGTGAGCCAACTAGGAAAGGTGCCTTCCTAGACTTGCTCTTTGTGAATCAAGAGGGATGCATGTGAGGTGTGGTCGTAGGAGGCTGTCTTGGCCACCCTAATCCCAAAGACCTTGAGCTCAAACTCTTGGGTGGCATGAGGCAAAAGTTCAATAGAGTTACTACTCTGGGTATCAAGAGAGTAAAACTGAAGCTGCAGAGAGACCTACTTGGCAGGGCCTCCTGGGCATGAGCTTTTGAGATCTTAGGGGACCATGAGAGCTGCTTGTTTTTAAAGAATCATCTTTTGAAAGCAGAGGAGCAGCAATCCCATTGTGTCAATGGAAGTCAAGCAGGTGCAGCAGAAGAGCAGCTTGGAACTCCTCCTGGAAGTGGGGTGGGAACAGAAGTTGTGTGCTTTCTAGAAGCAAGGTCAAGCTTTTCAGGAAGACTACTGATCTGTGGCTCACACATGGAGGGAGACATCATGAAAGGCCAAAGCTCATCTAGAGATGGAACTGCTCAGTGTTCTGTCAGACAACAACAAAAGGCTTTTTGAAGTATGCTAATAACAAGCGGATGCCTCAGAAAAGTATCGGACCAATACTTTATGAAGATGACCACTGAAAAGTGGGGATAAAGAAACGACAGAGGCATTTAATGCTTTTGTGTTGCCTCAGTCTTCAGTGCGCATGGTAAACTTGGGGCTCCCCAGGTCCTGTGAGTGGGAAGACCGTGGCTGCAGGAGTCGTGACTTTCCATGGGTGGACACTGCAGTTCTAAGGCAGGACTAACCCGGTGCTGGCCCAGCAACAGCTCCAGTGCCTGCACGACGGTGCTGCTAGTGGCAGCACCAGCGGCACTAGGGTGCTTCTGTCTTGTGGAGGAGCGCTCCAGCCCTGAGCGTAACGAGTTTTTACTTGCGAGGCCCTGTCAGGATGGGTCAGTGGCTCTGCTGCTGCGGGTCCAGGTGGGTTGCCCCACAGCTCAGGGAGGCACCGACAGAGCCGGGCCCTGCAGCAGCTGCCTTGCTCATGCCCAATGGTGTCTGTCCTGCAGGGATGACCCTGGCCCCGACCAGCACTGTGAGCCCAACCCGGTGTTGCCCGAGCTGCTGATCTGGGCACGCATGCGGGTGACCCAGGGCTGTGGCCAGAGGAAGAAGAGGGACCTCCTCCTCTTCGGAGACAACCTGGTCATCGCCAAGACCAAGTAAGACAGCCAGAGCCCAGCTACCTTTCCTCCCAACCCCTGCCCTTGGCCCCAGAGCAGGGACAGCCAAGGAACAGCCCCAGGCCCCCAGCACCCTGGTGCTGGATGCACCTGTGGCCGTGCCCACGGCAGGCGGGCACTAGAGGGGAGCCAGTGGGCTTGGCCACCTCCAGGTCACTCCCTGCCGCTCCCCTCTGCAGACGTGGCAGCACTCCGCACCCGCAGCTGTGCCTGGCCCTGGGCCTGCTCCAGGTGCCGAGCAGTGGGAAAAGCTCAGCTGGCGATGTTGCCGAAGAGGAGGAGGAAGGGAAGGCCACCAGCTCCCTTGTCTTCCTCTGGCCCTGCGGCTCCTGTGTTGTCACGTTCTGGTGAGTCCTGGTGCAACGTCCCACCAGAGGGGTGGGCAGTACCTCTGCCCTGCCCCATGGGGCATCGTCCACTGGGGCACAGCAGGCACTCAGGCTGTTTCTCCTCTCTTTTGGCAGCTCCTGAGTAGTGAAGAAACTCTGGGTCAGCGCCCTCCTTGGCTAAGCCCTTCCTGGCACTGCAGCATGGGCTGTCCGTGCTCCCATCATAGGGGCATGCTCCGTGAGTGGCATCCGAACAGAGGACACCTCTGCTGAGCTGGGGAGAGGTGCCCCAGAGCTGCAGGCGGAGGTGCCCCCACTGCTGAGCAGACACAGTTGACAGAGCTGCTTCATCCAGATGTGTCCAGCCAACACCTGCCCAGACCCATCCTTGCCACTCCCACTGCTCCCGCTCCACTGCCAGACCGTACCAGCAGTTCTGGGCAGTGTGGAAGGACTCCCCAGGCTGGCAGCAGAGGGAAGAGCTAGCTTGGGTCTCACACAGTTCTTTCTCTGCCCCTTCCCCATGCACAGACCACCGGAAGGAGTTCAGGGGGCCCGGGTGACCCAGCTGCCATCCATAAGGCTGGTGCTGAAGGAGCTGAGTGGCCGTCATGCTGTGAGTGTCCCTCCTGCCTCTGCTTTGCCCCCAGGGGCTACTCCAGCCCAGCATCAACTTCATTGCTCCTCACCTTCTGCTCTTTTCCCCTTGCCCAGGGGACGACACTGGATTCCAGCAGCCTGGAGAAGCTGCTCCAGTGCCAGGCTCAGGTCAGGGTCACTTGCAGTGCAATCTCACCCATCCCCACCTCTCACACACAGCCAGAGGCTGATGCAGCTCTCCAGGGGCCCTTTCTGCTGTAGAGCTTCTTGGTGAGTGCAGCCCATTTCTTGCAGACTGGTGCCAGGCAGCTGCTAGTTCCTGTGCCTTCCGGTAGTGAAGGTGGACGTGGCCATGTGGATGGTGAGTGTGGAGAAGACCGGGGCAGGATGGCCCTTCTCTCCTGCTCTTGCAGGCAGGCACATGTGCTGCCAAGGGGCTGCCACTGCCCTTCCCACAGAGCACATCCATCCTCATCACTCTGAAGCAGGGGGCTCTTTGCTCTGTTTCCCTTGGAAGGAGGCAGGACCCGCAGGAGCACGAGGAAGCTGCCCTGGCCATTGGCACGGCCAGGGACCTCGGCTGCAGTAAGGGCACTGGGGTCATCAGGCTCTGCTGGTGTGGGAGCTCTCTTTGGTCGGCCCCTGGCAGATCTGTGCAGCCAGGACGGCATGCTGCCACAGCCCATTCAGGTAAGCCAGCCTGGCTGGGGAGTCCCCATCCCATCCCATCCCATCCCATCCCATCCCGCTGGCTCCTCCAGAGAGAGGCTGTCCCCAGCACCTACCTCAGGGCCTGTCTCCAGCCCAGCAACTCTTCTCCCCTGTGCCCGCAGGACCTGCTGGCTCTGCTCAATGAACATGGCCAATCCATGGAGGGGATCTTCCGGCTGGCAGCCAGCCAGCACGCCTGCTTCGAGATCAGGGAGGCCCTGGACAGCGGGGTGCCGGTGCAGCCGGAAAACCAGCCTGTGCTGCTACTGGCTGTCCTCTTGAAGGTGAGCCCTGCTGACCCAGAGACCAGCAGCTCCCGGCTCTCTTGGTGCTGTGGGAGAACAAGCAGAAACCCAGCCGCCTGCTCATGAGCCAGAGGGCTGTGGGTGCTGTGGGTGCTCCAAGGGGGCAATGGCCAAAGCCTCACGTGGAGCCCTTGGCATTGCAGGACTTCCTCCGGAAGATCCCCTCCAAGCTCCTCGATATCCAGCTATACAAGGAGTGGATAAGAACCATGGAGAAGACCAGCAGGCAGGAGAGGCTGGCAGCATTGAAAGAGTAAGTGTGGCAGCAGCCAGCAGGGACTGGCACAGTGTGTGACTCAGCTGCAAAACAATGGCCTGCCTGAAATAGCCATGGCTCCTGCAAGCCACCTCCTGCTGCTGTGGGGTTTATGTCTGGGAGGAAAGAGGCACCAAAAAACTTTTCTCTCCAGGGAGCACTTCCCACAGGCATTGGGGCTTGCTCCAACAAGAGCCTCTTTCAGAAAGGCAGGGAGGGAGGGTTTTGGCTGTATCTCAGCAAAGGCAGTCCCTCGGCTGTAGAGCAGGCAGTGGCCTTGGGTGAGATCAGCCTGGGAGACCTGTGTTGTCAACACTGACTTCATTAACGCTGTGCTTCTGTTCCCTCAGGGTGGCCAGCAAGTTGCCAGAGGCCAACCTGCTCCTGCTCCGGCGCTTGCTGTTGCTGCTTAGCAGCATCAGCAAGAACGTGGCCACAACCAAGATGACTGCTCGGAACCTGGCCATCTGCCTGGCGCCAAACCTCCTGAGTCCATCCCAGGAGCTTCCCCTGGATGTCCTGGCTCTGGAGACAGGGAAGGTATGCTACGTTCACTGCCCTGCTACAGTGTTGTTAGCCCAGCCCAGCTTTGCTGCTCAGAGGTCCCTGGCTGCCTCCTGCTGTCAGCAAATCCATGGCGCAGCAGCCAGGAAGAGCAGCCCCGCGGCTGCCCCTTCCTGCACAGAGGCACTGGTCAGGCTGGGAAAGGCTGTTTGAGCCCTCATCAGCCCCCTCGGTGAAAGCAGTGGTTTTCTGTGCGCAGGTGACGCAGCTCGTCGGGTTGCTCATCAACCAGCAGGAGGAACTCCTTGGACAGCATGTGCCCGGGCTGGCCAGTGAGGGGGATGAGGGGACACCAGCACCACAAGCAGAGCTGGAAACAGCAGAGGTAAGTGAAATGCAAGAGCAGTGTGACAACAAAAGCCTCCTCCCTCAGAAGGTGGGGATGCTGCCACCGCAGGGACAAGCGCAGTCATCCATCACCCTGCAGCTCTGCCAAAGTGCAGAGCAAGGCTGCTGCAGGTTGGCCATCCCGCTTTGTGAGGTGATCCTCCTACAACTGGCTCAGCTGAGCTGAGCAAACCCATCCAAAGGATGTGCCTTTTAGAGCCAGGGTAGCAATTGTGCAGGGAAGTCCTTGCCCCCTGCTAACCTACACATTTGCATTGCAGGTGCCTCCCATCGCTCCCGAGAGCGAACAGCAGAGGAGTTTTTCCGGGGAGAAAAGTTAAAACTGCCTGGCTTTGCTTGGTTCAAGGTAATCATGGCTTCACCTATCTAACAATACTGTTGAATGGAAAGCTTCCCAGGCTCTTACACAACACCAGGAAGTGAAGAGCAACCTGGGAAGAGGGCAGCGATGGGCCAACATGCCGGAAGAAGACCAAAACCGAGATGCCAGGGATGGGCAACTGAAGAAATTCAAGCAGGGGAAGAACAAGTCACCCAGGTATGTAGCAGACCCTGTGTTTCATCTTTTGAAGCTCTGAGCATAGGAAACATTCCTGAGGTACACAGGATGGTCCTTGACAGGAGGCATGCACCTGCCCTTGGAGGAACATTTATGTCAGGAGAAACATATCACCACAGCATTGCCTGACAGCCTGTGATTTTAGTATGGCAGAGTGAGGGATATTGCTGCTTGGGTTTTGAAAAGGACCATATGCCAGCTTCCCAGGGCTCCCTGCCGAGCCCTGCTGCTTGGCAAGGGGCACTGCACATCTCTGTCAACTTCTCATGCTCTGAGGGTATCACATGTATTGAGAAGGTACCAAAGCAGCAATGAAGTTGCCAGTAAGGAGCCTCTCTCCTGCGTTAGCAATGTCCTCTTTTACAGCATACTTCCAAAAAACCCAGAAGCGAAGTCTCGCCTGCTCCTGCCCTCATGGCTTCATCAGCACTTTCTGACTCTGGCCTTGTAGGTGCCCATTTACTACTTCGGATTCCCTGTGTGAGCTCTGCTGCCTGGGCTTGGAGTTCCACTCTGCGGCTCCAGCACCACCTTGGCAGCGGCAAGGACAGAACCACCATGTCCTTCTGCTCTGGATAGAAGGTTCCACCACCTTGCCCTGGAGCCAGAGCAGTGCCCTCAGACCCATCCCAGCCCTCGCAGGAGGCTCACTCCTCAGCCCCGCCAGCAAAAGCTCACCCACTGGCACCTCCCCAGGTGGGGAGCTGGCCTCTGGACCTTGATACTGTCATTGTTACTATGCTTGTTACTATGTTTGTTAATACACTTGTTACTGTGTTTATGTTTATTAGTCTATTACTATGTTTTTTTAAAACAAATTTTAGGATATACTTCAGGATAGATTTAGGATATAGTTTAGGAAACACATTATAGGATATAGGATATATTTAGAAAATAGCTTGGGAAGCACGTTATGGGGTTGTTATTTCATACTGTTTGAGTACATACTTCATAGGATCATAGAATAGTTAGGATTAGAATAGGATAGTTAGGGTTGGAAAGGGTTATTATTACTGGAATTTCATGTTACATCACAAGACTACTCTTCTCGTGGCTTTTCAGCTGTGGTAGTAAAACAGCAGAAAGAATTACAAAAGTCATACCTTTCTGCCTTGCCATCTGCATCCTGCAGAATGGAAAATAGGAAAGAAAGTATACTGAAAGAGTCCTTGAATTAGGCAACAAATGACAGAAAAATATTTATGAATGCAGAAGAACTACTGCTACACCTTGGAAAAGATTCAAATAAGCTCTAGAAGAGTAATGCCTGCTATCGGACTACAGCTGCGTATCTTAGACACCTGTTAAGGTCCAGAAATAAAGAGAAACTTGCTTCTAAAAGAAAATGCAGGCAGACAACAGAAAGGAGCACTGAATTGCACCACTGTGTTTTCATTGACAACTGTTCATGGTGGGCAGAGAGATAATGAAACAAACAAAAGAAACAACAAGGAAACAAAATTGAAAAAAAAAACAATGCAAAACCAAACAAAAACACCTCAAAAAACCCCATACTAAAACCACAACAGGCAAAAAAAAAAAAAAAAGAAAAAGAAAAAAGCCAAACCAAACAAAAAACATAAAAAAAAAAAAACACAAAAAAAACACAAAAAAACAACAACAACAAAAAAACCACAAGCAAACAACAAACCCTAAATCCTGTTTTGGAAAAAAAAAAAAAAAGAAAATAAAATCCCTCAGATCCCTCTGCACTCTGGTGGGATAAACATCAGCTTTCAAGATCTCAGTGTGATCTACCATAGATGTCCAGTGTTTATTGTGATACTTTATAAACAGAAGACTAACTAAATGCCCCTGGGAGATGTTAGGAGGTGTCCCAGCTCTCTGAAAAAAAGCTGTCTCAAATCTGAGCACCAACAGAGTGACTTGTTTGTAAGAGCACTGAGTGACTAATACACATGTACTCCCCTTGCATTTGCTGGGATACATTGTGCAGACCGCCTGCAGTTCTCAGAGTTGCTTCATATGCCTTATGCCTTTCTGAATTTTCTTTACCATTTCTATACAGAGATAAAGTGTTAAATGCATATCTGGCCAGAGTCTGTATTTGGATGAGTTCCTTCCCATTTTATTCCTCTCTCCATCTCTGGATTTCACTTCTCTCTCTGTCTAATGCTTAGCTGCCCAAGAAGGCAAAAAGGTCATGCAATGGTTGCATTTGTACAAGCCTTTTCTTTCTCCCAGGAACTTTGTTTTTTCTCCTAAAACACCTGAGGAGGCACTTGCATCCAAGAAAAGGCCTTGACAAGGAAAGAACTTGAGTATGTTGCTATTTCTTCTAATCTGAGAAACAAAAGCACTACTTTTGCCCAGAAGGCCACTGGTCAGTATTTCTGTGATCTTGTTATGCTTTCGTTCCATCCTTCTTCACATTCAGTACCAAAGCCCAGGATCTCTTGCCCATCTAAGACTATCTTAGAAAGAGAGTAATTTAAAGAGTGTAGGAAAATTCTTTTTATGGAAAGGAGATTGTATTTTGTCACCTGGGAAATTTAGAAAGAACTGGTAAGTTACAACAGGACAGCCACTTCAAATCTACCTCATCTAAAAAGTAGATGATGAATTTAAAGCTATTCTCTATTAGCTGGAAATGATGAGAAAGACTCCTCATCTTCCTCAGGGAAAAGTAAAACCTCAAAGCCATACAGGATGTTGGCCAGGGATGGAGCATTCACAACTTCCTTGGGCAACCCATTCCAGTGCCTCACCACCCTAACAGTAAAGAACTTCCTCCTTATATCCAATCTAAACTTCCCTTGTTTCAGTTTTAACCTGTTACCCCTTGTCCTATCACTACAGTCCCTAAGAAAGAGTCCCTCCCCAACATCCTTATAGGCCCCCTTCAGATACTGGAAGGCTGCTATGAGGTCTCCATGCAGCCTTCTCTTCTCCATGCCGAACAGCCCCAACTTCCTCAGCCTGTCTTCATACAGGAGGTGCTCCAGTCCCCTGATCATCCTCGTGGCCCTCCTCTGGACTTGTTCCAACAGTTCCATGTCCTTTTTATGTTGAGGACACCAGAACTGCACACAGTACTCCAAGTGGGTTCTCACAAGAGCAGAGTAGAGGGGCAGGATCACCTCCTTCGAACTCCTGGTCAGACTCCTTTTGATGCAGTCCACGATATGGTTGGTTTTCTGGGCTGTGAGCACACACTGCCGGCTCGTGTTCATTTTCTCATCAACCAACACCCCTAAGTCCTTCTCTGCAGGGCTGCTCTGAACTTCTTCTTTGCCCAACCTGTCGCTGTGCCTGGGATTGCTCCAACTCAGGTGTAGAACCTTGTACTTGGCATGGTTAACCTTCATGAGGTTGGCATCAGCCCACCTCACAAGCATGTCAAGGTCCCTCTGGGTGGCATTCCTTCCCTCCAGCATATTAACAGAACCACATAGCTTGGTGTCATCAGCAAACTTCCTGAGGGCACACTCAATTTCACTGTCCATGTCACCAATAAAGGTGTTGAACAAGACGGGTCTCAACACCGATCCCTGAGGGACACCACTTGTTACTGGTCTCCAGCTGGACATTGAGCCATTAACCACAACTCTTTGTGCGCGGCCAGTTCTTTATCCACCGAGTGGTCCACTTATCAAATTGATGTCTCTCCAATTTAGAGACAAGGATGTTGTGTGGGACAGTGTCAAACACTTTGCACAAGTCCAGGTAGACGACCTTAACTGCTCTACCCCTGTCCATCAGTTCTGTAGCCCCATCATAGAAAGACGCCAAATTGGTCAGGCAGGATTTCTCCTTAGTGAAGCTGTGCTGGCTGTCACCAAGCACCTTGTTGATTTTCATGTGCCTTAGCATGCCTTCCAGGAGAATCTGCTCCAAGATTTTGCCAGGCACAGAGGTGAGACTGACTGGTCTGTAATTCCCTGGGTCATTCATTTTCCCCTTCTTGAAAATGGGGATTATATTTCCCTTTTTCCAGTCATTGGCAACTTCACCGGACTGCCATGATTTTTCAAATATGATGGACAGTGGCTTAGCAACTTCATTCACCAGCTCCTTCAGGACCCACGGATGGATTTCATCAGCTCCCATGGACTTGTGCACATTCAGGTTCTTAAGATGCTCTCTAACCAGATCCTCTCCTACAGTGGGCCTAAGGTCTTCATTCTCACAGTCTCTGCATCCGCCTTCCAAGACTTCGGTGGTGTGGTCAGAGCCTTTGCCAGTGAAGACTGAGGCAAAGAAGTCAGGGTAGTCAGTTCTCCTGATAGCTTCTGGAGAGGGCCCACGTTGTTCTTAGCCTGTCTTTTATTTACATGTACCTAAAGAATCCCTTCCTGTTATCCTTAACATCCCTAGCCAAGTTTAATTCTAGCTGGGCCTTAGCTTTCCTAACCTGGTCCCTAGCTTCCCGGACAACATCCCTTTATTCTTCCCAGGCCTCCTGTCCTTGCTTCCACCTTTTATAAGCCTCTTTTTTCCTTCAAAGTTTCCTCAGGAGCTCCTTATCCATCCAAGCAGGTCTCCTGGCCCTCCTGCTGCACTTCCTTCTAGTTGTGATGCAACACTCCTGAGCTTGTAGTAGGTGATCCCTGAATATTAACCAAGAGTCTTGGGCCCCCCTGCCCTCTAGGGCTGTATCCCATGGAACCTTACTAAGCAGGTTCCTGAAGAAGCCAAAGTCTGCTCTCTTGAAGTCCAGGGCAGTGAGCTTGCTGCACGCTCTTATCACTGTCCTGAGGATCTCAAATTCGAACATCTCATGATTGCTGCATCCAAGGCTGCCCTGGAGCGTCACATTTCCAACGAGCCCTTCCCTGTTGGTGAGCACGAGGTCAAGCATGGCACCTCTCCTTGTCAGCTTCTCTATTACTTGCAGAAGGAAGTTGTCTTCCACACAATTGAGGAACCTCCTGGATTGCTTCCTGGAGTGCCAGGCCATACCATCCCTCCAGCAGATATCAGGGTGGTTGAAGTGTCCCATGAGAACAAGGGCCTGCGAGCATGAGGCTGTTCCCATCTCTCTATAGAGTGCTTCATCCACAGAGTCCTCTTGATCAGGCTGCCTGTAACAGATAAAAACTGAGAAATATACTGAGATATACTGAGAAATATAAAGTATCTTGATGTAGTTTTAACAGCTAGAGGGAATAGACTAAATAAACAAATAATCTTTACGTTTATACAATATGAACAATGCTAAGGTTGACTAAATAAATGTTCTCCATACTCTGCTAGTCACCAAAGAGATTTAGAAGGGAAAGAATAAGAATCTTCATTATAAAGGGGCTTTGCAAAATCCATTTTCTTTCCTATTTTGCACATTCTCTGGTGTCAAATATTATGAGTGAAATCCTGAACATCCAATTATCATAGTTACAACACCAACTATAGTCCAACTCCTCTCTCTTCCTAACTATTATTAACAGGCTTATCCTTGAAGCATATACCTCTTGTCTAATGATGGTTAAAACTGGCCAACATATTTAACGAATAGTGGGGACTGGTCGACATACAGCAGGACTGCAGAAGCTTCCTTTCCTTAGAAAGCAGATTAAAAAATGGTGAAGATTTCTTTTTCATCTTTCATTTTCTAACTGAGTGGTTTTGTGCAGGTGTTCTGGGTTCAGCAGTAGCAGTAATTTTTTCACCTTCTAAGTAGCTGGTGCAGTGCTGTGGTTTTGAC